AAAGCTACTCAAATTTTGCTAGCAACAGCTCAACTCAATTAGAAAAGGGCTCCTTGATGCAGTGTATACCTTCTAAACACACAATGCAGATTGGCAGAACTCTTCTTGATAGAATAGGAAGCACTAAAATGAAATATATAGAGCTATCAAAAGGAGAGAAATAACGTCTTCCAACTATCCAAACAGAGAGTGTATGCTTGAAAAAAACAGAGCTGAGGGTGGGGTAGCAACAGGTTTTAATGCAGTTAAGGCTTTTTTTTCAAGGGCAAGAAAAACACATTGTGAATAGTTTGTGCACAGTCATTGTGTCAGAGGAATTTTTATAGAAACAACCACATCTCAGTGAAGGGCATAAACCTGTCAGCTTCCAGCTCCAAGAACGCCAAGAGAAAACTGCATGTTTGCTCTCAGCTTAGCATTCAAATGCATAGCACTGAGAGCGGGAACAGGAATTTTGCAAGGCTGCCCCCAGGGCACGCTGTGATATGCCCTGTGCAATTCAGATGCACATCAGCTTGTACGAACTTGGTCTCCATCCACGTTCTCTGTTATGTTGGTGGTATTATTTCTTTGCTTTTTTGTTGTTGTTTATTTCTTAAGTAAATTAATTTCCCTAAGATACAGTGCCTAACAATCTGACTATCCATGATATGCTTCAAATACTGGAATACATTAGACTGTAAGAAGGCCCTATGGTGATTCGCTAATTAGCTTAACCCTTATGGGACAGAGAAGTAGGAATTTTTTATTAAATCAGGATAACACCGGACTATATTGATCTGACTGAGAAACGAGTATTTTAGTCAAGATGAGTCTCTAGATGAGTACATGCTGGAAACAGTGATGTTGTTTCCATAGCAATGCCATGACTGCCTCTGGAGTGAAATAGTGCACTACCAGGAAATGAAGGGAGTTCAAGTGCTATGAGCTACACACTTCTGTGAGTGATCCAAATACATTCTCATAAAGAATATTTAGTGCAGCTAGATAGTCCAAAGATTGCTGCTGATGTGAAGTAAGCCTTATCAGTATGCTTCCAGCGCTGCAGTTTTCTCAATTCAATACACCAAAGATGACTTATCTAAAGGCTTAAGCTATGGGCAACACTGCTAAGCCATTTCAGACTGAACATTAACAAATACAGCAACCTTTACCTCCCTTCCTTTCCAGTGAAGAGTATCATCTATAATTAAGGACACTGACTTCTCCATAACATAATCACACACACTAAACCTTTCAGCAAAGAAAAGCCTCATATGTGTAATTATTTACTAGCTGACCTTCTCCCTTCCTTTCCTCTCACCTCCTCCTCCCTTTCCTCATCCTGCTCAAACAATACTGAGCAAACATGCTTGCAAGTGGGAAGTCATGTACAAAAGTTTTGCATATTTCTCAGGAAAATTTACAGTCATAGCATAAAACTCACTTCTCTGCTTTTCACCCCAGTTAGTTTATGCTAATATCAAAGCAAACCACAAAGTCACTGTGTTTTGCTTGCCTAAGGCTTTACCTAAAGTACATATTTTGATCAAATTGTGCAAAGCTGAATTATTTTCCAAGGGAGCCAGAAAGAGAACTAACTTAAGATCTGAACTGCTTTGTTCTTTTGTTTTGAAATACACAAAGAATTTTCAGTGATTCGTAAAAGTGCTAAAATAATGGTTATAACCCAAATAAAGCCATTATAACTGTTCTCGACTAAAATTTTACAAGACAAAGTATTTTACTTGAAAAAATCCTAGCATATCACTGTTAGTCTGACAGTTTTTCTCCAGCCTTTCCCTAGTAATTTGTAAAGATGCTCAAACATGAGCTGAATGTCCAGGTGCTCTACCATTGTATTTGTTGTGCCATTGTCACAACAGCCTCTTGGGTAAATAGATTGCAGTTCATTATATGCAGCACTACTGTCTCTGAGGGAAAGTAGAAAGACAAGTATGTACCAACTGCCAGATCCCTTATTAACAAATGCAACTTAGAGCTAGATATTTTCTATTTATTGTTTTAAACGTTTCAAGGAACCAAGCCCCCACTGCAAAATAGCAAGACATTTCACTTCCATTTTACATCTAGTAAGAAAGTGTAAAGCAAGCATTTTCAAAACTCAGTCTCCTCTTGTCTGTTCTCTTAACTCTTCTACAGAACAAGGCACCAAACCAAGCAACATTCAGGTTGGATATTAGGAAAAAATTGTTCTTTGAAAGAATGGTAAAGCATTGGGATGAGCTACCCAGGGAGGTGATGGAGTCACCATACCTGGAAGTGTTCAAGAAAAGGGTATGTGTGGCACTTGGGGACCAGGTTTAGTGGGCATTGGTGGCAACGGGTTCACAAGTGAACTAGATGATCTTAGAGGTTTCAGTTGGACATTCAATTTCGTTTTTTTCTTCCCTAAGAAAAAAAAAAAAGAAAAAAAAAAAAAGATACCTGCCACTGTGGCCAGTATAGCAAAAAGAGGCTGCCATCTAAGATTAACCACCTTTTTACTAATGTTTTTACCAATGTTCTCTCTTATCACTGCCTAAACTCTCTCATGACCATCCATCTGACAGGTATTCATTCATGTGTATCTAAAAGAAGTAGCAAGATCTGTATGTGAATCCAGGATAAAATACAGTTATTCCAAAGTTATCCACACAACTATCCCCAAGTTTAGAAACAAAAAGTTTCTCATCCTAAAACTCAGAAATATAGTCTGATTTCACCCCCAATCAGCAGATTGAGAACATCCTCAGACACTGAACAGGTTACTTACTACAAACTGTGTAGTGTTGTAAGGGTTCAACCACAAACTCTAGAAAACACACTTTTTAGTAGATATTCCACAACAGGAATGTGTGCATTCCTTTGACTGAGTACAACCGATGAGTACACACAAGTAGGGACAGTAACATTCTGAATAGTCATTCAGTCTCAAGTATCTTTGATGTCCATGTTGTATCATCAAGACATATGGTAGCATTTATAATCTTGAGACTGTTTTCCAGCTCTTCACAGGTACACTGCTAGTTTGAAATATCTTTGTGGACAAGCACTTTAGAAGACTATATATATACGTTTCCCTACAAAGGGTAAATGAATTAAAATACTGTTAATCAGGCTGTGAAATTTAAAGTTTTCATCAGGAATTTCTTTAAACTTTCTGCATCAATTTCCTCATCCACAAAATAGCAGACAAATTTATTTGTCTACCAGCTCCTTACTCTTTTGTGAAGATTCAACAAGAGAAAATATATGCATATATGCTAAGAATTACCTTACAACACCTCATTCACAATACTTCTGTTCTGAATGTATCAATATTCTCATAGTAATGTTTTATTTTCAAGTATTTACACACATCTGGGATTTGAAAATTCATTTGGATCTGATATTTCAGTCACTAAGCTCTTATCATGAGAAGCGAGTCATTGAAATCTCAGGTCATCCTCATGAGCTATAACAAATATCTGTTTTGTTTTGCTTTTGAAGTTCTCAGAAAAAATTATCCTCACAATCCATATTTCATAAAACATCTTTTAACACAACAATAGGGACTGCCAGAAGCAAAGACTTACGTAAATATTCAGGAGTGTGGTTTGGTTATCACATACAGACATAGTATGTGATACAGGGACTGCTGTTCTCATTCTGACTCATTGCTCTGCTTTAGAAGAGGAAGAAAACACACATCAGGCACTTACAAAAGTGCCCAGGAGAGACATAAGAGTGGAGGGTGAAGCTACAGTGAGGAGAACACTGTGAGAAGCCATACTGATACTCCATAGAGATGTGCTGGCAAAATAATTTCTCACTCTGTCCTCTCATATGAAACTACAGAAGTACAGTTGCTTGAATATCAAAGGCAAACACTGCTGCATTTTAAAGGACCACCTAAAGATTGATCCTAAAAACAATCTTGTTAAAGAAGGCACCATTGATCTCACTTAATGTAGACAGGTGAAAGGCAGAAAAGGAATATCTCCAAACTCATATTACCTAAGGATAAATGCACCTGTCATTCGATACTACAAATGCAATCCCATTTGTTTTTCTGTTTTTAAGGACATCAAGAATTGCTTCACGTAATAAATTTTTTCCTCTGACTTTAATAAAGCACAGGCCAAGCTCCAGAGATTAACTAGCCTACAGATCAAGAAACATGAAAGACCAGTAGGAAAAGGAAAAAGAGCTCTTCATGTTGGCAAAATGAATTTGTCCACAGCAGAACAACAATTTCTCTTCAATATCTAATAGTCCTACATACAATTCCATGGAGAAATATTCTTCTAATTCCTCTTGAAATAAAACAAAACAACAACAACAACAACAACAAAGGGAATACAATATTCTGAGCTGGCTCCATTATCTATTTCTTGTCTTTCTCTTCCCTTATGTTCTGCAACACACAGAGAATAATTTTTCTTGACTTCATTTTCTCTGGCTCCTCCTGCACTGTGCAGTGCAGTGCAGGGGCAGCCTCCCTGACTGCAATGATCCCGCAACGTGGCTTTCAGGATGATGCCAGCACTTGAAACAGCAGTGACTGCATTAACTCCAAACACAGCTCACATGAGGAAGGCAAGCCTAATCCCCGACCTATGCACATCTCAGAGATAAGGGTTTTGTGCAGCAGGGTGGCTGAGAACAGGGGACAGAGGAAAAACAGGCCTTTCAGGAAAAAGAAAAAAAAAAGTGGTGTAGCTCAGCATGAAATGTCTTGAGGAAATTACAGTATAAAACATGCCAGTCAGGTAGATAGTTATCATTTAGTCATCATCAGTTTTCTGTTTATGTGTCATCATCCAACTTCAGGACTGTTATTTTCCACAAAATTCCCTAAATTTTGCAACCTTTAGCTGTCCTTTATGATATCTGAGCGTTTACTGTTACAAATACTGCTGGGATTCTGGTAAGGGTAAGATATATTTATAAATCTGCAGAAAAAAATATTTTAAAATGTCTCTTCTAAGCTCCACTAATGCTATCAATACTGACCAAGGAACCACAATAAAGGATACTGAAGCTTCTATCTGTGATTGCTAAGTGCCAGAGATTAATCCTGAGATCATCCGCTGACATGTATGTCTCACAGTCACTGTTGACAGATATTGAGTTGACATGATAGGTGTGACCATTAGCGAAGATTCTCCGGGGAGTGACTTCTACCATCAAATCCATAGGTTTCAATACAGGCACCTGCCAAAAAACAAACCACAGATCAGAAACAGAGTAAGATCTTTACTAATTTTTCTGCTAGCATGATGTCGAGCAAGTATTCAAAGACTGTGACATTATAAAACTTCTCAGTAGTGTATGCAAGTTGAATTTCTCTATGGATGAATAGTTGGGCAAGACCATCTCTGACAATGGGGAAGCCAAGACAAGAGCCATGGAGAGCTAGGAAGAACAGTGGAAAGCTTGGGCCACTGGAAGAGAGGCACTGACAGCTGCCACAGTGCAGGCCAGTCCCATGTCTCACACATCCAGAAGGTTCAGGCTTCAGCAGTCAAACAATGAACTCCTAGTATTCTGTTTGCTGTAAATCGCTCACATTATTTCTTTTGCTACTTTATCTCAAAAAGAAGTCAAGCAACGAAAAGGTTATAATCTATGCAGAACATAATAAATACAGTCTTAGAAAACAAACCCAACTGATCTTTGCACCCTTGTTATTTCCCTGTGTGTCACTTTGATGTCACGCTTCGAAATCTAGACAATGCCCTGTTGGTAAAGCATTAAACACAGAAATGCTGTGATCCTCAATTGGGAATATTCGATGTAGTTGAACATGCATCAGAAACAATCTATCAAACATGTAAGATCATTTAAAGAGAAACACAGAAGTGTTAAAGCTTTGAGTTTAACTTGCTGCTACGGCAACAAAGCAATGATTCTCTCAGTCTTTGAATTCTCAGATTATAAGCAATCCTAAATGGCTTTGTTTGCTTAATGATACAGAACAGGTACTCCACTCTGTATGAATTCCATTCATATAGATCTTTAGACTTCAGTGGGTAATTTTGTCCTCAATAGACAATATTGGCTTGGTTTGCAGGTAGGAGTTGATTGTTTCTTTTTAAGATTAGTGAAAATAATAGCACTTGTACTTCTATTTCTAACCTTTAGTCATCTCCTTTGGAAAAACACCTGAAGTGATTCAGCCATTAAAGTTTGAGAGCAAAATTATATTACAATATGAGATTGACGACTGAACCCATCAGCAATGGAAAGCCTCACATTCACTGGACTTCTGCATATCCCCAGAAAGAAGACAATTCTTTTATACTACTGTAATAACTATGAGACTGAAATTTGCTGTACTGTCTAACTCCATTACTCTGAATGAGGTGAGTGTACTGTTTAATACTAATTATAAGTAGGCTTCTTCCAGCACACTAAGTTCCATAACCCTGTGTGAAAGAATGTAAAGTCATGCTGAGAGAATTTTATCAGGAAAAACAGAATTGATGATAAATTCCAAACATTTTTGTGATGGTCACTATGTCATAAAGGATTTGTGACTTAAAAACAGATTATAGATTCAAAATTGTAAAGTCAGCCAAAACTTCAAGAATAATTGCATATATACTTAACACTAGGGACATATTTAAATCTTTCACTGACTTGGTGCCCAGGACTATCTTCCTCATATACGGAAGCAACCAGGACAAAGACAGCATCTTACCTGTAGTGATGTTACTGTAGAAAGATCTTTAAGCTTTCCTTCTTCATCCTTTAAGTTGTACCCCTCTGGCCTCTTATCTCTTTCAGTAATTTTCCATAACTTGATTGTTTTATCTTTTAAATAAGAGACAAACACTTTCTGTCAGCATAGGAATTCTGAACATGGTTACTCACCTTTCACAAAATACTCCTTAAAGAAGTTTCTGCACCTTGGCTTAGCCATGTTCCATGCTGAAACAGTCTAGGTCTCTAAATCTGGCACATTCAATCAATGCTGCCAACTGGAAAAAATACTCATCAAGCACATCCCATACCCTGAAGTGAGTCAGAGGGCCCTGACAGCTGACAGACCCTGCAAAACACACGCTGCTCTCATATCCAACTCAGCAGTTTGCAGGCAGAACATACCAAAACCACACAGTGCTTCCTGCTGAAGGTCAAACTTGCAAAGTCAAATCATCAAGGAAATAATCTTGATACTAAAGTGTATTAGCTAGGTTACTTCTGAACCACACAAGAAGAGAGACCAGTTATACTGCTTGGCTTGCTGTGGAAATGGGCAAAGGTGTATTGGTATAACATCATGAGCTCTAGCAAAGAAATGAAAATGTGAAGTATGAAACATTTTGCTCTCCCAACAAGGGATATCAACAAAAAAAAACATTAGAAAACAGAGATAAACATGCTGTAAGGGTAAGAGAGAGAGAAGTGGAGTGAAAAATATATTAATATCACAGGGAATTGAGTTAAACCTAAACTCTCCCTTTTCATGATGGATAAGATGATCATTAAGAATATCATGATAAAGATTAGGATGTCTCTTGTTTAGTGAAGAGTTCTTTAAACATTTCAGATGGAATTTCTCCTTTTTGTAGCTGCACATTAAAGCTGCAGATTTCCCTAATACTGTCTACTCCCACTCCAACCTTGCACCCAACCTGGCAAATTTAGGCAGAAAAATAAATGTCAGCTCTTCTCCTTCTACCCATGCATATACCTTGTCCTGACCTTCTAATAGCTGTTTTACACATCTCTTCAGGAAGCAGCCAGACTTTCCAAAGCTTCTGCACATCAGATGCTAACCTCCATTCCTGCATCTTTGCTCATTTAGTCCTTTCTTCTTCCTTCACCCTTCTCTTCCCAAAATTCCAAACACTTCTTTCAAATGCTAGTACATATTATTTTAAAAGTTACATATCTGAATACAGAAATCACTCCTCATTTCTATAGCAATTTTACCTTTGATCTCTTTTTATTTTAAAAATCAATCATTTGCTCCACTGCTCAGAGAGCTTTTATTACTATGCATCTGTGTTGGGTTTATGTAGCAAGGTTTTGGTACTGGAGGGCTGCAGGGGTGAGCAGGGCACAGCAGCTACCCCATGTCGGATCAGAGCCAGCTCCAGATGGCTCCAAAAGGGATCTGACACTGGGCAGAGCTGAGCCACGAGTGACACTGGCTGTGCCTCCGTGAGAGCAGATCTAAGAAAGGGAACAACTACTGTTCAACAGCAGCTGGGAGAGGAGTGAGGAACGTGAAAGAAACAGCTCTGCGGGCACCGAGGTGTAGAGCAGAAGTTTCCTGCAGCCCAGGAAAGGCCCACAGAGAGGCAGGCTGTCCTCCTGCAGCCCACAGGCACCATGTGAAGATCTCCACATGTAGCCATGGAGCTGCCCTGAAGGAGGTGCAGCACACGGAGAGCTCCAGCAGGAGTAGGGCCTGCAACGGAGCTGCAACCCATGGAGAGGAGCCTGCAGTGAGGCAGGAATTCTGGGAGAACTGCTGCCCATGGGGACCCATTCTGGAGCAGTTACTAATGGATGGGCCCTGTGGTAATAAGCTGTACTGAAGCAGTGCTTGAACAGCTGCAGCCTGTGGGTCAGTTCAGTAAGATTGGTGTCCTGTGTAGGGACTCCATGTGGAGCAGGGGGAGAGTGACCATGGATGAGCAGCAGAGATGATGCCTTATGGACTGATGGCAGCCCCTATTCCCTGTTACCCTGTACTGCATGGCAGGAGGAGGTAGATGGGAGGAAATTGGTTTTAGTTTCTCACTGCTCTAGTCTGTTAGTAATAGGAAATAAACTACATTAAGCTCCCTATGCTTAGTCTGTTTTGTCCATGCTGGTACTTGGCGAGTGATATCCCTGTCCCTGCTTCATCCCTTGAACCTTTTTTCATCACATTTCCTCCCTCTCTTCCTCTGAGGGAGGGGAGTGAGAGAGTAGTGTAGTGGAATTCAGCTGCCCGGCAGGGTGAAACCACCAAAGCACTTTCTACAGATATTGATCAATCTACAGAATAAGTGGATATTTCCATTTGCAGCTGAACAGTTGCAAAAGAAATTCAGTACATTTCATTTTTATCAGTCATGTTAATTACTAAAAGTACATATGGGGTACTTGGGAATTTTATTACATGTAAATGCACTTTTCTGCTCATCTGATATTATTAAACACAGTGATTATAAAATACGTAGGAAGAAAGTGTGTTTTCCACTGCTGAACTTGAACTGCTATTGATAAACTACCACTTCCCTGAGAGAAAACTTTCAGTGGTTAAGGATGTTATGTGTTGGTTTTCTTCTCCCTCGTCTGCCTTCCAGACTTTAAAACCTCCCTAGAAATTCTAAGTATGCTTATGTTTCGCAAAATACAGAAATATCTTTGTGAGGTTCAGAATTCCTTCAGTCTCAAGGGTGTTGTGAAGTTTAAATTAATTAACATCTGATAAGAAATCTCAAATTCTCAGATGAAAGGATGTGTATGGGTCAAATTCTGATTTACACAATGTAAATCAAATAGGAAATCCCAATATATTCTGGCACAAAAGATACCAATGAATCTTAATAATTTAATACTATACTACAAAATTAGTTCAGTTTACAACGCAAACCAGGAATTTGCTAACTGCAAGCACTGCAAATCCACAGTGGGATTTGAAAGCCTTGGTGACTTCCTTCTGCCTCCACTAATTAAGACAACGCAAGCAGAGCTTAGCTGATAACTTACTGGTAATGTGTGAATTGCAAAAGAACTCTCTAATAGCAAGGTGAGTTGTGAAGGAGTCCTTAGAAGGTGGAAACATTTGGGAAAGAGCAGACTTGTCAGGCGTCATATAATGAAGGTGAGATTTAGATGTACTTTCCCCTCATGCTTTCCCTAACACAGAGATGCTCCTTCCAGCAAATTCAATAGGCACTGCCTACCTGTAACTGGGCAAAGAGCATGCTCTGCAGAAGTTTTATAGGATGCTCTTTTATAGTTCTCATTTTTTTGACCAAAACTCTGCTTTGGATCCTAAACTAGCAGAGGGCTCATAAACAGGTAAAAATATAAGCCAGCACTCAAAGTGTATCCACAGCAGGACCAATGTAAGCATGGATAGCAGACAATGCCTTCACACTCTACAAGCTGGGGAAAATAGTATTCTCCACTTCTAACAGGCATGGAACTGATATAAACTGTATATTCTCACGGAAAGTCTGTGGCAGCAAGGAGTTCAACATGGGCATTCTGTATCCTAAACCCATAACTATTTTATGACTATGCCACAAGATGAATTTTCAGACTTCAACCTTACTGTGCCAGGACACTATGAATTCTCTTTAATACAGAAAAACATAAAACATTCTGCAATCCCAAGCCAACATCCACAGGCTATGCCCATGGCATCACTTCTGCTCTCCTCACATAAAGAGGTCACCCAGGATTCTCCACAATTAGGAAGGAGGGAGAATAGAGGGCAAAACATTTTGCTGGATCTTAAGCTGGCAAAGGGTGACCAAATATTTACTAAATGATAGATGTGTAAATTAGGACCCATTCAGTTTCTTCCAACTATGTCATCCTGCATTTCCCCTCTTGGCAATGATTCTGCATTTTCTTCAGCAATAGGCCTTAAGCATGTGAGAAGATGAGTCAGTTACCAACTTCTTATTATTATTCCTATTGTAGAACTTAAATAGAGCATTCTGATGATAATGAATGAAGAGAAAAAGAAATTCATTTATCCCACCTACTTTCATTTACACATCTGCAAAGAATAAAAGTTATGACAAATACAGCAGACAAAATTCTAAATTCCCAATGAAACACAGCTGCTGGATAAGGTGATGTCTTTTTTATAAAGTTAATTTCAGGATAGCAGGGCACACAAACAAAAATAGATAGTGCTCTAAACATCAAAAGGAAAAACCTTGTGATTGTGCATAAAATGCAAAAGTAACAGCTATCAGAATCAGTATGGCAGTCTGAGTAAACTCTGACACGTGAAATCACTAAAACAGTAAATCAAAATGAATGCAGAATTTGAATATATACAGTCAGTGCTAAAATGCAAAAGAGCAAAAGGTGGTTATGTCCAGTATATTCTCTTCTATCTTACCATTTGTTGATAAAAGTGAGTGAGCTGCATTTTGCTGCGGTAACCACTTGATCTTGTTTATTTTTTCTTCTATCTCCAAGCTCTTCAAATAATCAAATTCAGGTTCATGGCTCTGGAAAGTGCTGTAAACATTGTACTCCCCCTGACTGTAAGGCTCATTTTTACTCTGTGAAGAATAAGAACAACAAAAATGTATGTTGTATTATGGCAATATTTTTTCTCCTGCTAGAGGGGAAAGTGTACTAGCAGCCTTATAAATATAAAAATATTGAATGTATAATTAAATTTCTCATTTAAAACATGATATTGATAGATCTGTTTCTACAGGAATGAAATTTCCCGTAAGTATTGAAGTAGCATTTTATAAAGGACAGAATTTTCAAAGAAATGTCAATTGTTCAGTAAGGCTTTGCACAGAAGATGTTGTGCATGGACTAAATTTAAAACTGGAGCAGAAGAGATAACACAGCACAAACATTGTTTGAAATTGAATAACTCCATCAAAGAGGCAAAAGCTATTAAAACAAAAGTAAAACAAAGACCACCACTTCTCTTCTTAGCTTGGAATTTTGGAGCTCTGAAGTATTCTTTAGAGGAACAAGACTAAACTTCTGATGAAAAGAGATTTACCCTCCTTCCACATTCTTTTTTACTCAATCTTGAGATTATAAGCAAGTTTTTTTTGTTAGATCTAATGGAAGTACTAACAATGAAAACGGCTTTTAGCAAGCTATTAAGGACTAACTCACATACCTCAGGTTCCCTTTGGAATATAACAACCCGACCCCCCTTGTCACCAGTAGCCAGCAGTTCTCCAGTGTGGTTGAACTCAACTGTAGAAATAATATCAGCTAAAGGGGAAAAGAGAGAGAAAAAGGAAAATTTTAGTTTGCTCCTACATTGCCATTATGATTATCAAGCACTTCACAAAAAAAAAATGAGGGATTTGAAGGGAAATGAATTCAACAGCAAGGCACTAATGCAAACAGGCTGCATGCCATTAGAATCCAAGGTTGCTACACAACGAAATCAGTGCAAACGTATGGATGCAAACTTGTGTTTCCAGCACATCTGCAGCCTGGAGATCTCTAGAGGGGTTAAGATTCAGGAAGAGCAAACCCAGACTCCTATAAAGCTTTTTCACTTCTGAAGACAGCAGACAGTGTTGGCCCCCTGCTATTTCCTCGGCAGGGACCAATGTGAAAGCTTATTCCTGCTGTATGTATTATTTATTCTTCATCCTTTATTAGGGTTCCAATAAAACCCTAAGCACTAGTTTACTAGTGTTTGAGCCAACAGTAAAAAGGCAAAGTACATGTGCCACAAAGAACTGCTCACTGTGCCATGCTGGCAAGAGCCCATTCAAATCAGAATTTTCAGTAAATCATTTCAGCACCATAAAAATGTGTCATCAGAAGATAAAAAGATCGCAGTCTTTTTCTAATTTTCAACAATTCTCTTTCCCTAAGCAATTGCATCAGCTTATACAAGAAACCTCATCAAAACCTGAGGCCAATCTTGAGCACAAAATACTGAACATCAGAATGAGAAGGGAGAAATTGATAGGAGGAAAAGAACTGGCTCTTCTGCTTGTATGACAGCAAATGCGAGAATCATAATCCACAGTTAATCCTACACTATTAGCATAATTTAAATTAAAATGCGTAGTGCAATAGTAAATTAAGAAGCCATCACATATACAACCACAGACAAACGCAGGGTATTACTGAGAGACTACACGTATGAATTCTCTATAATGATCAGCATGCACTCAGCAGAAACATGGACCGCATTTTTTGAAGCATCCATAGTCAGTAGCTGCTCTTTAGGCATTAAAAGCTGTGGTTTTTAAATGTGTTCATCATCCATCAGTTTATAACAAGAACAATGGGGCTACAGGAGGGTTAAGCTCTTTTGAAAGCCTAGCCCCAAATGAGTTCACTAAAATTTAAAGGAATTAAAATAACAAGTGGATGCTCCATTTATTGGATACATTTTGTGAACTGAAAACATCTGCTCCTATTATTCCTCTAATAAACTAGTAGTTGAGTGTTAAAAAGCTCCTATTGCCAGTAGCTCTCATCAGCAACACGGTTTCCAAAAACCCAGATTCTTACTGGAAGATTATAAGCACCACCTGAAGAAGGAAAACCATACTCTAATAATGATAAAGCGTCTCTTTTGATCTTTTTAAGAAATCTCCATCATTCAACTCTGTTTGTCTCTCTAAAAAAACGTTCTTTTTTTTTTTTTTTTCATGTAAAGAAGGGAGGAAGGATCGTAAAGTATGCACACGATTATTTCTTTTTTTTCCTGAATAAAATGCATGGATGCATAGCCTTTGAAAGAAATGGCATACAACAACTTGCAACATTTTGGTCATGAACCCTAAGCTTCTCATACTTGATTCTTTATGCACACCTCTGCAGACTGTATTTCACAGGTGGTTATCCCAGCTGCTCTCACCTTACTAGAGTATGAGAAGAATAGAGAGGCTATGGCTGGTGATGCTCTGGGGCTCAGGAAGGGCTGGGTTGGATCTAAAAAATACTTAACATAAAAAAAATCAGATCAACTTTCTTGGCATGTAAAGTTCATTTGTAGTTCTTATTGAGAATATATCTTGGTTATATTGTTCTTATCCATATCCATGGCAGGTGTGAGCTCCGGCTCATAAAACAATATTTGCATAGTTTTAGTCATTTAAAGTTGTATCTGACCCCAACCAAACAGGCAGAACTGCAGATGACTCATACTGACAGTGTTTTTAGACTTATCTCTAGCGTGCATTGGGCAAGAAGGCAAGAGGGGAGAAGTGTATTAAGAAAATGTGTGTATTGGTGTATATACTCAGGCATATGTAGTGCATAATGATTTTCCCAACAGGTCCCGAAAAAATCAGATGCAAAAGTAATGAATGGCTTTTACATTAGTATATGTGAATACACTTTCTGTTGGCTTGAAATACTTCCACAGTGGCATGAAATTGTCTGTAAATGATCACAAGATACTACAGAAGGCACCTCTAAATGGTCACAAAGCACCACAGACACTTCAGCCAATGCCCAGTGAAGTCAACAGGAGTATTTGCATAGTCATCAACAGCAACCAAAGCAGGGTAATAATAAAACCTCTGTGTTTATTAAAATATTGTGTGCTGTTAAGTGATTATTGTTTAAATAAAAGCAGCTAACACATAAGTATCTCTGGGCAGTCGATGTGATATAGTTCAGTGCATAATTCCCTCCCTCATAAGCTGTTTCTCCCAGAGGCATCTTTCCTTTCAACAAGAGAAGTGAATTCTGAACTGGAAACTGCCCATCGTTTTTAAATTAACTTGTTCTTAAGAGAAGATCAGAACCAATATTCCGACCTTACATGGTATGCAGCTTGTTGGTAAAAAATTAGCCTTGAATTGAAAAATCACTTTTATTGATCCTGTAAATAACAGCTGAAAACAACAGCCAAAATATCTTATCCAACATACCAGTTCAGCAGGCAAGCATTAGTCATGCTGCTTTCATAAAGATTAGCCGAGATGGCTCTTTCTAAGACAGACGAGGCAGGAACAGAATCAATCCACAAAGCTTTTCATATCCCTCTGCAGGACATTCCCCTACAGCTTTGCCAGCGCTATAGCAACATCAGCCACTATGGTCTCCCTACAGACTCTTACATTGGAGAATGACTCCCTGAGGATGCAGAGAAGCAAACTCCCAGCAAACTACCCTCTCTGGGATATATAAATGCTCCTCAATGCAAGAACTGGTGAATTTGCACATCCAGTAAGCCCTTGGTAAGGGATGATTGAGATGAAAGGCTCCATCCTGCTCTACACCTTCCATGCCCTAGCATTATCAAACTTGGCACTAACTTTGATTATATAATAATTAATAATTTACCTATTAAGGTAACCTTAATAGCCAATGTTGACAATTAAATTGCAAATTTCAACTTTAATGCAATATTAATCTTCCTGATCTGTGTGTAAATTCCCCACTTTGTCTACACAGATATGCATATAAATTTGTATTTAAAAGACATGATGCATAACATTTTCACACAACTGAAAAACACAAGTTTAGTATTCAATATACAGATGCTGGCTGAGAAAAACACACAGAAAACCTTCAAAGGATAAGAAAACACTCCAGGGAGGTACACACCTGCTTCTCTTATATATCCTGCCACAGCAAATTGTTCCAGAAGACACTACATATTACAGACCTCATTCCTCAGGCCAATTTTACAGATTGACAGAAACACAAACCTAGACCCTAAGCCAACAGGAAGTTTTTCCTGATCCAGTCTGAAACATTTCATTCCCTGACTCCTAGTCATCTCTCATTATACCTCATTATATAATTCCTCTGCAGCTTCAGTTCACCCTCTTTAAAGGCATTTAATTGTGATGTCGTACTGAACAGCTGCTGCTTAGTTATCTATATTCATCTTTTCTAATAGATCTAAGTATATCAGTGTACAACTATGCACATCAAGACATCTCTAGCTGTTTGTACTTCTCTTCCCTCAGTTTCATTAGCACTGTTCCCACACAGATGCAGGCAAATGAACTCTCAGTAGTGCCCACTCAGACTCAGCACGGGGTGGGATGAAACAAAGGCAGGCAAATGCAGCCCCATTTACTTTGCTCTATGCTTCACACCATCACACACTTTTCTGTGTTCAGTTCCTGGACTCTCTCAAGTTTATTTTACAGGTTTTTAATAGCTTCTTCCTTGGATTTAAGTAAAAGGTAACACAGACCAGGTAAAATACCTCTACAATAATTACAATACTCATCTGTGTAATAAATTTTTCTATCACTTAGGGGGACTCTACCAAAACTGTTCACTATGCAGAGCAAGAGATAGCCTAACATACTTTACTCATCTTTACACAGCCTTTTGATCATGATCCTCAAGCAACTCTAAGTAAAGTTCAACTACACTTTTCTGTATGTTACTTTTTCTAATAATTTCTGCTTTTCTGAGGCCCTTCATTTGAAGGCCCAGGTATATTTTATAAACATTACTTTGGCTCCAGAAGATCAGGCAAGCAATGAAATTTTTCAGAAGTATTTCATCCAACAGAGAAATGCATATTTTTGGAGCAAGTTTTGAGGGAAAACATCATGATGCAGCTGTACAGGGAAAAGATGATCAGAGAATATAATATACAGCTGAACAGCACTATAATCCTGATAAAGACTTAAAGGATTTGCAATGAGCCAGAATACTGTAATTAACATCAGTATTTTTCTCATAAAAGGTTGTGAAATCCCACTGATAAGAACAGGTCAGAATGTTTCCTTAATAGTTCATCCACCACAACCAGCATCACAACAACGGCCTGAGCTGACTAAAGCAGCATCTAGGTTTTTGTTGCGTTTTCCCAGTGGCTAGAAGGCAATCTTGTAGTCTACACTGTTTCAACCAAGTTTTGACCTGGCCTAACCTTGGCTTGTGAAATCCAATAAGATCACAGCACAATCTGGCATGGCTGCAAGCAATGTTCGGTCATACTGATACTAAAGTCCCCGAGGAACATAATCTGGAAGAAACAACAAAGAAGCTTGCAACAAAGAGCGATATAAAACAAGAGGACAAATGGTAGATAAAAGATGAGCAATATTACAGTAACATAGATTGAGCTATGTTGTCGGAATTTAATTTAGACTTGGTAAAAAAAAAAAAAAAAAAAAAAAAAGGTAAATAAAAAATTGAGTGAAAGAGCCGATTCCCCTTTTATCAAGCTGATGGGTTTCCTCCAGCAGCTAGAAAACAACATATGCAAACCACTAAGGTATGAGGGTCGGATGGATCCTTCTTTTCTGAAGCAGCTGGCAGAA